TGTGTGTGTGTGTGTGTGTGTGTGTGTGTGTGTGTGTGTGTTTCTGTGGTCTTAGGTGACCCACAGGTTTTACACAGACGCTCTATGTGTCCTTGCCTAAGCTTTCTTGCTATTGGCATCTACTCACTGCTATTGCAAGTATCAGCTATCTTCAAGATAATGGTCCCCTCTGTCTCCACACTGTGGTCTTCCCAAACTCAACATATCACTCAACCAGAGGAGAGATGCGGAGTCACATGGCTCAGTTCTTTTAAAGGTGTAGGAGTAGTAAGAGGAGACAGGGTTTGGTAGGGGGAGCACAAACCCCTCTCCACGCTCAAGGCTCTCTCTTTGTCTGCTGCCTAGCTCCCTCTTAGGTAACCCAAAGGTACTGGAGGTCTGGGGACCAGGACTTCTGCATTTCAGAGATACCACTGGTTATGACCTAGTTAGGGACAGAGTGAGTGTTCACTTATCTGGATCAATAATTATAAGAAAAATGATGGCTGTGGCTTGCTTTAGAGACTTTTGCATATTGAGTCTTGATTTGTCAAAGTATGAAAGTGCCTGCCATTAGGAGTGTCTGCCTAGGAAGCATCCCAGAAATGCATGCTTATTCGTGCAATGTAGCCAGCACCCAGAACATCAGGGGATGTTGTCAGGTCCTTTTCATCTCAACCACACGACCATCAGCCAAGGTCTGATGACTCATTCGCGGGAAATATGCAGTGTGTCCTCCACCGGAAGGAAAGATGTGGGTACCGAAAGGGTTTGATCTAGTCTTGCAGTAAGGGGAGAGGAAGACAGCAAAGTGGAGGTGAAAGCTGTTCAGGGAAGAGAAGAGCCAGTAGAAAGAAGTCAGTCTGGTTAGGACAGTGAAAATGAGGAGCAGCTGGACTGAGGAGAGCGTGTGCAGAGCCCAGAGACAAGCTGACTTCAGGAAGGCACAGTGTGTGGACAGTATCTCACGAAATGCAGGAGGGCCAGTATTACAGGGCTGTGCGTGTGTGTGTGTGCATGTGGGGAGTGGGTCACTGATGGCCACACCACACATTGTAAAGCCAGGCTGTAGCACAGATGAGACCTGACCTTCTGTATCCCGTGCTGTGGTCATGCTGAGTCACCCCGATGTCCAGCATTTGCTTTAATGGAATGGACTGCTTCCATGTAAGAAAGCTTCGGAAGGCAAGGTTGCGTGATGACTTTTGCTCAAACGCAGAAATTTCTCAGGGCAGGACAGCCTTGCCTGGCAACGTGGGCATGAGAGGAATGTTTTACTCCAGTCTTCCTGGAGGCTGCACCATGGAATGTTGCACACATTTCTTAAGCGCAGTCAGCAGGGCACGAAGAACGCACATACCATCCATCTCTCATTTGAATCTTTCAGAGATAGCAGAGTTAGTCAAGATCCGAAACACAGGGTGCCATTGTGGGGCATGAATTATCTGCAACTGGGCCTTAGGCTCACCTAAAACTCCTTGGATCAGCGGCATTTACTGTGCAGACTACCTCAGCTTTCTCATTTTAGAGACACGTTTAAGTACTGCTAATAAAGAATATTCTTATTTAAGCCTTAGATCACTGAAATTTGTCTTAAAATTCCCATTTTATAAATGGGGACACTGAGTCTCACAGTCTAGAGTTTATTCACCAAGTCAGTATAAGAAGGAACCAAGACAACCTATGTCTATTTCGTTTTGACTCTGCTATGTTCGACTTCAAGCCCCCTTAGAAATGCAGCAAAGCTATGCATTCTCCTGTCAATGAACAAAGGCGACTTGGTATAAAATATAAAAAAAGTAGGAATTAATTTGAAGGCTGTAGGTGTAAAAGCATTTTACTACTAAAACTCGTTAAGGAAAATGTTTTGTAAATGAGTTTCCTGGGAGAGACATTATAATCTTTTTGTTGGCGTTCTGGCTTATTCCAAACCATTTAGCCATTAGTCCGTGTGACACAGGAAGAAAAGATGTAACGAAGCACATTGCAGAAAACCCTGGCGGTACAATAGATACTGCAGAATTGCACATACAGTTATGGTTTTGAATCCCATGCCTTCAAAGCCAGCAGAAACGAGCAAACATGCTCATGTTAGCAAGGATAACACAAAAGTGAAAAATTTAACTTAAATGGAACTCTATTATTTAATCAGTCAAGTTCAGTCATATCAAGTAAAGAAAATTAAATACCTTTCCAGTTATCTATATGGATATAGATATCTATATCTAGTTTTCTATATGATTCTGGGTGGAAAATACACCATGTTCCTTATACAAAAGGAAAATGGCTGCTGCTTCAAAGGGAACCACATAAGGATTCTTAACCTGCTGGAAACCTCAATGTTGGCTTTCTTTTCCTCAGAGATTTAGGGCATGAAGTCGATTGTGAACCAATGAAGGATCTCAGTTGTTGCTCTCACAGAGTGACACATAAGATCTTGACAGTGATACCTACTGCTGACAGACCATATAGGACTGCCCTGACGTTGACAGGAACAGAGTCTGGACATTCACTCTACTTCCTTGTCTTCCTGAGTCCTTTGTGTCCCGTGGGATGATCTGGAGGAACCAGGCTGAGAGCGCATGAGAACCCCCATGTTACCGGACTTTCCTCCAAACCTGCCCAAGTGCCCCCATCGTGAGCATCTCCTTCGTTCACAGTCAGAGACGCACCAGAGAGACTTTTTCTCTACCTACCTTGTGAGGCAGCTCTGCAGACAGACTTCTGAAGTCCTAGTCAAGAACAACTACGACCTAAAACAATGAGAGTGGTGGCAGTAATGACGTGGTGATGGCTGCTAAAGTTTCTTTGGCTACTGCTGTCCAGACGTTCTTCTACGTTCTCTATGTGTGTAATCTCATTCTTTCACAGGACAGCAGCCATAGTAGACCCTGACACCTACATGTTTGAGACCCAGGGAAGTTAAACTAAACGACTCTCCCTAGATCACACACATAGAAAGCAGAAGAACCAATGTTTTAATGTGGTTTCAGATCTGTGCCTTTATCCTGACATTAGCATGCTCTAAGTATATTCCACCGAGGAGGAAAAAGTTTTTAATTAAAAATAGAAGTGGATTTCTAATATGTCTCTAAAGGTCTAATTATTTTTTCAACCAAGATGTCAGGGAAACCATTTCATTAGTGAAATAGTCTTTTTAAACATTACTTGTTTATTTTTACTTGTTTATCATTTTTTATGTCAGCCATACTTTAGTAAATATTATGTTTTTCATATAATATTTTTACTAATTCTTTAGAATTTCATACTGTGTACAGTGTAGTTTGACCCTGTTCATCTCAATTCTCTCGCCTAATGAGGCTTGGCATGTTTATGAGGTTCTGGAAACTAAAAGACTTGTAAGACAAGCCCTTTTCTGACCTAGCCCTCACCCGGTGTTGTCTGTGCATCATCTACATGGGAAGCACCACATGTTGATTAGCCACGTGGATGTCAAAGACTCTATCCCCTACTCACAAGGAGCTCAAATACAAGTACAGGGTGGGAAGCATAGACGCACAGTGTACAAAAGAACAGAACCAAGAGAGGGAGCACCATCCCTAGCAGTACAAACATGAGGTACATGGTACAAAAAATACAGAACCAAGAGAGGGAGCACCATCACTACCGACACCAACAGCACTCACAGGCAATGGGCAGTTTCCTGGATAGTCCCTCAGGGAAACCCAATAGTAGTTAAACTGATTTTTCTGGGAGGAGAACATAATTGGACCAGATTCTTGAGATTAGCTGTGCCTTGGTGAATTTCTGCACGTTGTCTCTATTTCCCTTCCCTTTCTCTTTGCCTTCTTACAGAAGAGGAAATTCATGCAATTGGTGAAAATGTAAATGTTTGGAGTAAAAAGATGAGTTGAGATTAGAAAAATCCTTTTTAATTAGCATTTGATCGCTACGTATTAAATTAATAGTTACTAGTATCTTCATAGCAACTGTTTAAACAGATTTTCTGTCACATATTTTTCAGTTTGAGTATCTCCTATATTTATTTGAATCTCATTTTTCCCTGCAGCCTTAAAGCACATAGGCTTATTAAGTAGTCTGGCTTATCAAAAATATGCTGATCCTGAATGGTTATGAAATATTCATGAAAGTCATTTAAGTTGAATCTGAAATTGTTTCCAATTGGAATGAAATCATCGCTTTGGTTTAAGCAAATGATGCAGATATAAAACAGAATTACTATTGTGCCCAGGATGAGAGTCTCTGGGGAAAGTTATCTCTATCTTTATCCATAGATGTATTTATATCTGTATACGTCTTTAAAAGTCACTTAGCGCACCATTTGTCTTCTAATGTCACTCCTTCGTGACCTTCATCATGCTTTGTCTTGTCCACATGTAGATGACTGCCCAGCGGAGACTGGAGAGAATTTATTAAGGCGGCTTCTCAAACATCCTAAGTACTCACCAC